CCGGCCCCATGAAGGAGAAGCTCTTGCTGAAGCTTTGTGATCGCCTCATAGCCGCCTTGGATGTCATCTTTCTTGGCAGATCCATCCGTTCAGATGGTACGGTGCAGTCTGGATAAAGGACGAAGTCCAACGCCGCTAACCCCGCGACGGCCACCCCAGAACGTGGCCGCAGACCGAACGGGCGTGAGGGCCGTAAGGGCCACCCCGCCATCCGGTAGGTGGCTGAGCAGCCGGGCGCAGCGGCGCCTGGGCGGCGGCCGCGCTGAGATGAAGTCCCAAACCGCCATGTCGCCATCACCGCCATCACCATTGCTGCAGCTGTTCCCAACCGCCTCCATTGCCGCCGTTGTCAGGTATTGCCAGCAGCCGCGCCGCGGGATGTCAGAAGCCGCGCCTCCAGCGCCCCTCTCCGCACGTGTGCAGGTGCTCTGCGGCCGCCGGGTCCGACGTCCAGGCAGAACATGATATTTCCATGCTGCTCCGACGGTGGGCTGGTCTTGTTTGGGTGTTCCTCCACTGTGACGTCGGTCACGCCTACCCCGGCCAGGGCGCAGAGGCCGACGTCTCACCATCCGGTTGCGGTCCTCAGTCGGGTCGCAACGTGTGCCTCTACCGCAGCGTGGAGCGCGCTCCCGCTGGGCAGCGATACAGCCAAACGTAACATGCGGGCGGCCAGCGCTGCGCCGGACAGCGGACCCATGCAGGGGGTATGCCGGTCTCGGCCATTAGCGGGGTCGTCGGGGCCGAGGCTGTACATACAGCTGGTGACCGCGTGAGCCGCCAATCGAAGCTCACGGCTTATAAGCTCGACGCGGGCATCACACGTTGTCCCGATGGGAGCTCCACGACGCCGCCGCGAACTCCAGCAGCGCGGCTCGCAGCGCGAAGACCGGTACGGACGGCCGGGGCGCAAACGGCGTGCGGGAGTCGCAGGCGACGGAAGACGTTCTGCGGACAGAAAGGGTTGGGCATAAGCTGGTCGGCAGGACACTCTTGAGCCGAGCCTTTGATGTAATTACAGATGATCCAGAAGCATGCACAAAAATTCATGACACACTATTCCCATTTATGTATTTGCTACATATGATATGATATACCAGCTCATGATCAGTGACGCATTCTGGGCAATATGTTCTAAAGTGAAGTACCTAACTGAAGTTACAATTGACAGCTTAAAAAAACACACACACGCACACACATTCGATAGCTTATGAGAATAACATGCCTTGTCTGTTTAATGCAGGAAAATATTTTTCACTTTTTTAGAAACAGCAAAACCGTTGTCAACATGCCATGTCAACTATCTAAACAATTTTTATGGAAACTGCTCTAGCTAGCTTAAAGTTCCACAACGTTTCCGGAGCACTGCACCCAAACTCAGTTCATGTTGCAAGAAAAAACAGTAATAATGCCTCCTAATTTTGAATGAAATATAGGTATGAGTAATTTGATTTGGAAATTGGAAAGCAACAAATTTCCGCACATCATTTTAGCAAAATTACTATTTTCTTCAGCCACCAGGTTTTGCACAAAACTATAGTAAACTTTATGATCTAGTTTACACCAAACCAAAGCCCCTTTTAACAAATGTTGAATAAATTTTAACAGTTTTAAAAAATGTATCGTGGAAAAAATGAAAAGTGTAGATTTGTAAAGCCGGGATATTTCACGGATTAGGCACTTAAAGAAATATCTTCACCTTTCTTTGAGCCACCAGCCTTCACCAAGTTTTACACGAATGTAGTGAACCAGACAATGTGGCAACTCAAAATTGTGATGGTTTGAGATAATTATAACGGTAAAAGAAAAAGCAGCACAAGGTTCCTTACCCTCGCTTTTTTCACTAGTCCAGATGAGGCTTCAACTGTTGCCGACCTGAGGAGCTATAGGGACTTGAGCTTTCCAAAACTCAATTTCTAAGGGCACTGAGCAGTGTTTGGGTTTCACACGTATGCGATCGTAAGTTATATTAAGTTGACAAAGCAAGCAAAGCAAAGCATGATGCCCCGCGCGTCCACCCGCGACCACGTCCCGCGTCCGACTCCCGACCGCCGCGTGACCCGAGGCTCCCGGCGGTCACGTGACCTACCGGCCGGGACTGCAAACGGCCTTCAACACCATTCTTGTATGACGTCATATCCTACTGAGGTGCTGATTGGTTATTTCCACCGTAGTTATTTTTGTTTCATTGTTTTGCGTGTTTTTCTTATGTGAAATGTAATTAAAAAATTTGCCATATTTTAATCACCATTAAAACATAACTCAATAGGCATAAAAGAAAGCTCGATATATACTTTCCTTGTTTTTAAGAATTCCGGAATTAGATACCCGAGGGAGTAAAGTTGCCACGCTGATTTGATACCTCATAGTCGAAAGGTGGGCTACTAGAACCAAAAATTGCTGTGTTTGTAAATAAATAAGTGATTTGAGGGCAAAAAATGCCCGGATTTAAACTTCTAAAATTATTTTGAACATAAAATATTTCAGTTTGAGGGATGTTAACCCGCGCCCTGCTGGGGGTCCTGGATTTCCACGCCCTGCTGGGGGGGGGGGGGGTGTTTGAACACCCCCCCTTGTAACTCGGCTCCTGGGCCACGTAGCGATACGCGGAAGGCGGCGTTCGAAAGAGCGTAAAAAATGATGACGAAATCACTTCGGTCAATTTTTTGGTCAGGTCAAAGGTCAGGTCACCAGAGGTCATTGAAGGCAAAATTTCGCCGATTTCCAGGTCGAATGTCGAAAATTTCCAAGAAGCCAACGCATAACTCGGGAAGCAATAGAGCTACAGCGCCGCGGAAAAGCGCATTCGATAGCCCTATTAACGCCCTTTCTGAGTAATTCTCTCAGATTTGACCTAACGTCAACGGTTTTGCCTGCAGGGGGCAAAAACTGCAAAAATAGCCGATTTTTTCGAAAACAGTTTTTCTGCAATAACTTTTGACCCAAGCCTTGTACGAGCTTACTTTTACCGGCATCGTGTTCCTCTCGTCAAGACGCATCGAATGAACTATGACTTGACCTTGAAAGGTCAACTTGAAAATTTGACCTCAGGTCAAGGTCATGACCTGACCGGAAAGGGTCATGTTGCATATCAGTCGATCCGTATCGTCGAGCTGAACACATCTAAGGCGTTTTCATCGCTCTAGCATGCCTCTATCAAAAGTTATTTGCGAAAAACTGTTAGATACCATTCGTGACCTAAGATGACCTCAGGGCATAAACAAGGGTCACGGACACCATTTTCAAGTTCAGTGTGTCTAAACCACTTGTAATTCGGTGTTTGGAAGTGTTTATAATGTCTTTCATCCAAAAGAGGCGCATTTCAATTTTCTCCCATTGACTTATAATGGGGAGGTCGCAAAATTGACCTGACCTTAGGTCATCGATATCAAAATTCTGAGATATACATTTTGTACATGCTATTGGTCTTAGCAATCGCTGAAAGTTTCAAAGCGATCGGTCACTCGGTCTAGCTATGACAGACATTGAAAGTTTTTATGAGGTGAGGTCACTTCAAGTGACCTGGTGACCTGACCTTGAATGACCTTGGTCTGAAATTTTCACAACATGTGTAGAATTGATGTATGATAAGGTGTACCAAAAACGGCGGCGCTCCGCGTCGCCGTTTTTGAGATATTCGCGAAAAACCACAAGGGGGGGTGTTCAAACACCCCCCCCCCCCCAGCAGGGCGCGGGTTAAGGCCTCAAATGGTAGGTACTTTTTAGGTATTAAATAAGTTCCTCTGCGAAAGTTCCGTCGTGAAAACGGCCAGTATGTACCATTGCATTCCTCAATCTGCTGTCTGCATCATTGTTCCATATCCCAGAACACATTTGTTTGTTTTTGTTGAGCTGTCAGAAATTCAGTGCTTTCGTTTTGTTAACAGCAAAACATCCCCTCACAGGACAAACAATGCACCAATTCTACACTGTCACGGTATTATATATTCCCGACCGGGGCTGGGAAAATGCGTTTTATTCACCGAGGTTTTTGTGCGGAGGACCGAGTGCCGTAGGCACGAGGTCCGTAGCCAAAAACCGAGGTGAATAAAACTGCATTTTCACAGCCCAAGGTTGGGAAGAGATTTACCACATGCCGTACCCGCGCAACAGTTAATATCATATTCATTTGATATTATATATTATATTCTTATTGTTGTGTTAATATTATATTAATACTATGTTAATATTTATAGTCATCGTGATTATTTTTGGTGTTTTTATTATTGGGCGGCGTTGAGTATGAAAAAATGAAATTTCCTACTTACCCCTTATTTAGGGTTTGAAAAAACTGAGGATGAAGATGGTGAAGCGCCAAAAGTTAGGACAAACTATAAAGATATGGAGTCCAGCAGGAGTGAGGAAACCGTGAGGAAAACTGAAAATTGGGTGAGACGCTGAATCAAACGCGTCTTAGATCCCAGCTGGAACAATACCAAATGTTTATTGTGGCTCGTTAAGATGCTTCGCGCATTTAAAATGTTCGTTTTTTTTGCGTGCATTATGTTGTAATAATGAGTACTCTGACCATGTTCTGCAGCAATAAATACATTGGTATTGGAACGATACCTAAAACCTATCCTTGTTTAGTTGAATTACGTTGACAGCAAAAATAAGTGAAAACGCCATCACTTAATTTTGCTCACTTCTGCTGTTGCTGTTAGTGAACACACAATCCGCAGATATCTTCTTTGGAATTGGTTCTTCCACTCAGAATATTCAGTAAAATTTTGTCTGGGAAAATCAAAAAGCCCTAGGGCCGAATCGTTTCCCAAATACCTTCAACATTAGCCGAGGCGGGCCGAAGTCATTTCCCAAATGCACGTGCTAATGTTAAAGGGATATCTCGGCATGTGGTAATCATAATGCCACAAAAAATACAAGAAACGATAAATCACTCGTAAATGCTAAACACGCAATAACTTTGCTGTCCACAAAGAAAACTTGACAATGACAACATAAGCATCCCTTCCTAAACACAGTCTCACCATTTGTTTCAGGTATCGTCCATCAATCGTGTGCTGCGGAACCTGGCGACGCAGAAGGATCAGCAGCAGCACCAGCAGCAGGAGAGTGTGTACGACAAGCTGCGCATGTTCAACGGCCCCTCGGCGGCCGGCTGGGCCTGGTATCCGGGCGGGCCGCCGCCCTCCCACCTGACGCTGCCCCAGGCACCCGCGCACGGTCTGCCCGCCCAGCTGCCCACGCGCGACGACATCAAAAGAGGTGGGTCGGCGCGATGGGGGCATTCCACGTCAAATCGAACAAAAATCGGCTGTTTTGCACCTTACCATCAGCGATTTCATTATAAATTTGTGAGCGAGTTCCTGTGTCGCCCCGGACATTACATTGATGTTTTTTGCACATTCTGACCACAGGTCTTCTAAATATAGGGCATCAATTTTTTACAAAATGTTGCATCTTTATATTTTTGAACGACCATAACTTTGGTTGTACTTGTTTGATTTGAATGAAATAAACCTTACTGTTTAGGTAATTTCTTAGGCATTTGTTTAGAATTGCATCGACTTAAATATATGACCTTGAAATTTGCTTAACTCTGTTCTTAAGCACAAAAATTGAAATAGCAAAAAACACGCCACCTTCGATTTGGCTCATTTTCATATATTTTATTGCCTACCATATTCTTAACAACCTGTGAAAAAATTAGAGTGGGCCATTCATAAGTTTTGAAGAAAATGGCACATATGCAAACGTATGTTGGCACGCGCAGTGGAGGGGGAAGAGTGAATTTCGCCCCACCCCTCCTGTTTTTCGCCAATATCTCATAATATTGATGCGAAATTACTTATGGCTACCTTCCAGAATTGAATTGCACATCTCATCGTGCAAGCAATAAGAAAAACTGTTCTAGTAATAGCGGTGTAAAGTGAATATCCTGTCGCCGCGGCGACGCGGCGACTCGGCAGCCGGCGCCGACCGCTACGCGCCGCCTGAATTGTAGACTGTGCCGGGACGGAACGGAACGGTTCCGTCTTTACATCGCGCTCCTTACCGCTGATTACGTTCGATTCGCGTCAAATTTTGTGAGAAGACTAAGAAATGTACAGGCAATCTTATGGTGAAAGAATTCTGAAAATAGGTTGGTAAACAATTGAAATATGAACGTGTAAACACAAAATTGTGACTGCTGCGTTTCCCGCGTCGGCCGATCCCGCCTCAGCCGGCGACATGTTACTCTTAGCAGGACTCTAACTGCCATATTTATTATCGGACTAACTAGAAATTCCCCATACATACTCAAAAATGTATGTTTTTTCGTATAGTGAAGATCAAAAGACGTGAAGATATCGTTGCGTGATAATGTTTTCGTTGAATTTATTTCATGAAGCATTTCCACACGGCTCAAAATTCACCGCAAAATACCGTTTGCTTGAGACACTTTTACAATGGAACGTGAATGCTTGACTACGATGACTATGCATTTCCATTCTCGCAGAGTTTGGGATATCACTAATCAGCAATCATTCATTTCAGAAAGTGTACACAAGCAAGCATGTCTTGACTCTGTCTTTCAAGGTCACGCGCGGTTGCGTGATGTTGATGCATGAAAACGGCGTTTGCCGCGAAAGTTATGAATGGCCCACTCCAATTTTTTCACAGATGGTTAGGAACATTGTGACGGACATAATATGTAAAAAATATTCAAATCGAAGGTGGCGTGTTTTTTGCTATTTACATTTTTCTGTTTTAATTCAAGGTCAAATGCATTTCAAGGTCACTTCAATTTAATTTTATAATTAAAAATCAAAGCCTTATCAATTGCCTACAAGACCCTGTTAATATCATTTTGATACCAGAAAAGGAACCAGAGTTATAAGCATTTAAAAAATTGATGTGTGGCATTTTTGGCTATATTCGATGACCTATATCTCGGCGATACGTTATCAAATTTCGAAAATATTGTACGTAACTCAGTTTTGAACCATGCCCAGTCTGCCTACAAATTTTCAGAAAAATCGAAGGGGATGACGGATTTCGGTGTTTGATTTGACGTGGAATGCCCCGATGGTTAGCTGAGGGGTCACCGAGTGCAGGGTCACCGGAGTGGTGGCCTGGGAGGTCAAGCCCATCGGGATGGCCGACAGAAGGATCGTGCAGGTGCAGGGTCTCTTTAATCTCGACATTTTTATTAATTGAAATATAAAGCCAAATTTATTCGAATATAAGCTGTTGGTATTCAACCTTGCAATAAACAACATAGCTTCCTTGGCATCGTTCGTATTTCATGGGATTAACTAGTTCATCTGTTTAAAAATAATTTAGCTCATGAGGAAAGCGAGCCGGTACCTAAGGCTTGCCAGTTTGAAGCTTCCGTTGATACAACATAAAAGTAATACTGCTACTGGTCGTTAAAACCTAGTTCACAAGCTCTAAGCACTCCCGATTCTGGTTCTAGGCAGTGTTTCCGTCTGTGTGTCAACTGAGAAAGGAAAACAATGACAACAGGATAAAGGCAGTCATTCACTGGTTTTGTTAGGCATGGTCAGCCGACATGACAGCTTAAAATTGCTAGATTGGTCATATTTGAATGGAAATAATAGTACCTACTGCTGGTCAAAATTTTAAAAGAACCTATAAATGAAAAAATGTCAGACATGGAAATTCTTTGTAAATGATTGCAAATCTATATTTCACGATAACATAGCAGCACTGGAAAAAATATCGTCGTCGCCATTGCCGTCCCAAACCACCTTATAAAGATACTAGCACTGCAGTCCTAACAAATCCTCCGCTAATCAGTCACAAATCTGCCACCAATCCGTCACAAAGCCGTCACTAATTCGTCACCCGTGGCCAATCTCGCCTGCCATGGCCAGCCAAGGCCGATTATTTTGCGGATTCAACGCCCATTTTATGAATATGTGACGTCGGAAAAGTCCATTTGAAGACCACACCGTTGGGAAGGTCCGTTATATGACTAGTTATGGCAAAACGCCTCTTCTGTGACCTCCTGCAGATCACCAAGAAAATGTGCCTGCTCTCCAAAGGCAGACACTTAGAAAGCCCTTTCTGGGACCTATGCCCGGTCTCTAGGAAATCCTACCTGTGGCCGAAGGTAGATCTCCAGGATAGGATGTCTGTGGCCGTTCTATCGTTAATCCCCGGCCCGACCCGCGCGGTGCAGACCGTCGTCGCTCGCACGTGCTCTCCGTGTTCCCGTCACGAACGTGCCAGATGACAGCCATCTGACGATGTACTGTCCTCCTCTGCACCATCTATCTGGCGCGGCATCGCCAGCGTCAACTCGGCCAAGGCGATTATGTCCGCTTATGCACACGGTCTTTGCGCTCGGCGCCGCCCGTCGGTCGCGGTTGAGCCGCGCGCGTGTCACCTTGGGTGTCATCTTGTGACGGCAGCCCGACAGGCGCCTCCCGTGCCCACTCCTCTCTTGCATGATTGCAGCAGTGCCGACGACTGGTTTTGTGAGGGTGCTTCCTGCTCGGTCAGATGGTTATACAATTTCCGCACTGTGCAGTGTGGTCGAATTTGTGGACAGTTTTTAATTGAAAGATCTTCACAACTTTTGCAGAGTGATTTTCCAAATGCACCTGATGTGTGGCGGATGGCTATTAATTATGAAAACTGCGCAATGAGCATTTTGGTTACCCCAATGGCAGAAGCTAAAGGACCTAACTGATCACTAACTTATTAGTGAGCCATGATCATGCATGAGTTGATTGCTATCGACATTTGTCAATGATCAGCATCATACCTACCCGTACATCAGTTTTCGCGCTTTTACGCAATAGTAACCACACAACACATATCAGGCAGACATTTCCATCTCCAATCTAGGTCGGGTGTGCACCATCACTCAGAGCAAACGCAACCAAGCGATTGAACACCCTCCTCTCCCTCCCCTCCCGCCCACTGGGCCCGCCCTCTTCTGTCCGACGGCGCGCCAGCCCAAGACTCCGGGCGCACATCAATCTCCGATAAAACAGAGCAAAAAATCGCCGCCCGCGCGCGCGGCGCTCTGTGCCTCGCTCGTTTGCATCGGAGGCGCGTCCCGTGGTGTGGAAGTGACGCAATCAGAGTTGTAGATGAGGGGCGCCGGCCGCCCGGCAGCCATGATGAAGTGAAGACAAATCCGGCAAGTGATTGATCCGGCTCATTACTGAGGGCGCCGCGCGCTGCGACTGCCGCGGCGGCGCGCCGCGTTTGTCGCAGGCTGACAGGCGGATGGGAAGGCAAACAGAGTCCGGTGGTGGTGCTGGGAGGTCAGGAAGGGGTGCCGACGAGGGGCGACTTCCCCCTGTGACCCGTGACAGCGACTAGCAGAAATTAGCTGCACTGTTGTTGGTTCAGAAGTGTGTGCGGAAGGGACTACATCGACGCGGGAGGGGCGTTGTATAAGGGAGAATACGGGTGAATAATACGGACATGACACAGACATGTCAGCATATGTGTTTTGGAGTACGGTTATCAATTGTATGTAAAGCAAAATAGGCTGTCGCATATCAACAGTTGAGCTTACTGTAATCGTATTTAATCTACAATAAATACCATAAAAATGACCAGAAACACAGATGTTCTGAATTCAAATGATGTAAAAATAGCAAACTACAACCGCAACAGGATGTTCGATTTTTATCTTCAAGGGATTATTTTACACTTTGAGACAATCCCCCAGATAGTCAAAGGCCACGCCAATCAGCCGGGCAAGCTGACACAACAAAAACAAGTCCACCCTGCAACCTTTGGTCTGCTTATTACCTGGAGATGAAAGGAGCGCCGGCCGGGGAGAGGATCAGTCCCCCTCTGTCCCCTTTCCCTGCGTGTGGGACTTTGACGGCGAGCGGCGGTCAACAGCGGATCAGCGATCGGGCTCAAGATAGCCGCTCTTGTGTGCGGTCCGATCTGTGACGAGTTTCGTCCCGGACCACTCTGTTCCGCGGCCCTTTGATGGACGGCAGATAGACGGGCCACCAGAAACAATGTCATAATTCGCTCCTTTCAGCCCGAAATGGCCCCGAAAACTTCAATTTCCGGCGTTCGGCCTCAGGGAATTGGCTGCATCGCGTTTGGGAAGTAAATTCGATGGTCGTCCGGAACGACCCAACTCTGTTAGTCGTGGGGCTTCGACAAACTGAGGCCGTTTGGAGAAAACAGCTTGATATAGCTATTACTGCATTCGTCTCCCCATCCCTCTCGCTTCTCTCTCTCTCTCTCTCTCTCTCTCTCTCTCTCTCTCTCTCTCTCTCTCTCTCTCTCTCTCTCTCTCTCTCTCTCTCTCTCTCTCTCTCTCTCTCTCTCTATCTCTCTCTCTCTCTCTCTCTCTCTTTTTCTCTCTCACTCACTCACTCACTCACTCACTCACTCACTCACTCACTCACTCACTCACTCACTCACTCACTCACTCACTCACTCTCTTCCCCACTGCTTTCTGTCTTCCCTGTCGCCACGGCCACCGCTAGCGCTCCCACCATCTCACCCACCGCCCTCGGCTTCCGCCACCGCCCTCGGTCGTCCTCCACCGCCGCCGCAGCGGCCGCCGCTACGACTATTGAGTTACCGACAATCGCATTCTAGTCACTCGTTCTCTGATTATGCCCGCCGTTGTATTGTGGTTAAACTAAGCGAGTTGAGATCGTCAAATGGAATCATCTCTGCCAACGACGGAAATAACCACTCGTCGAGCTCCAAATTGGCAGCCGGGGTCGTTGGGCCCAGCGAGGGAGTCTGGCGACGGTCCCGGTCGCTTGGATGGGCCGGGACTATAGCTGTGACGATGGGGATTCAGCGTCGCGGTTATGACAATGAAGCTGGCGACGCTCATTGGAAAACGACCAGTCATGACTATTCTAGATAATAGACATGGTGATGTTACTATGAGATTTCTAGGAGGCGTGATGGGTATTAAATTGAGAACCAGAGCTGGTGGAAAGCTGTTGCATTTTTCCGTTTCCTACGGTCACTCAGAAGTAAGTCCTTGTGCAGACCGGCTGACTCAGACAGCCGGCGATTTTCAAGCCAGCTTAGCTCATCATCAGTCTCAGAAACCGTGACGGGATGAATGCAAATGTTAAACAATGTTTAGTTGATGGATCGCTGACAGGGGAGATGTCCAGTGCGAATTGTGCGCATAGCAAACGTCTGACGGCTACCGTTATTCTTCTGCTTCGCTTGGTCGCAGAACTGCCGCAGCTCGCAGAAATGCCATCCTGCAGGTCCGCCCTCATCCGGACTTGTTTGTCACATTTCGATGGGCTGATTCAATTCGAGTTTTTTTAATTCTTGAGCGAATTCATCTGTCGATGCTTTCTGCCGCCTCTGGGCGGGGGCGACTGCCGGTGGCGGGGGCGGCGGTGGGCCGGCCTTGGCGGCGGCGCGTGCAGCGATGGCCGCCGCCGCCCCGCCCCCGCCGCCGCCCCCGCCCGCCCGTCTGCACCATCTGATAGCGGGTGGCGCGCGGGCGGCGTGGCGGTGTTTGCGGCGGCACGGTCCTCTGATCTCAGCCGCCCTGTCGACCCGCCGGACGCTGACAAAGAAACCACTCGGTGACAAGAAAGACGCGCGCCGCCGGAGACGACAAACGACAGACAGACGACAGACGACAGACGATGGGCTACAGGCGACAAATAACAGACGGACGAGAGACGAGCGCCCCGCCCCGCAGACGACATACAGACGATGGGCAGATGACGGACGACAGACGATAGACAGACGGACGACAGATGACAGATGACAGACAGACAAGAGACGAGCGCCGCCAGACCACAGACGACAGAGAGCAGACGACATAAGTCAAGACGAACGATGGCTGACAGGAAACAACTACACTACCTAGGTCCGAATCGACCCAGTTTGTGACTTGTGAGCCTCAGAAAAAAGTCACTAATCAACACAAGATATGTCCATTCTTTATCTTCCGTTCATGTTGCATACCGTTCCGAAACTACTTATTTTGCAATGCGTATTTATTTTGCTCTCAATTTGGCTCTGGTTCACTCAAAACACGGACCCAAGTCCTTCACGGTTTCTTTTTCACGGACATGCTACTAACAGGCCTACTGTTGGTGACAATTTGTAGGTAAGACGCTGCTCGGCTTCCGTTCCTCCTTTGTTCTGCGGTGCTGGCGACATTTGGATGACGTCTTTTTATTCACTTTCACTGTCATCCTGTCATGAGTCGTGACAGATGGGACGGCCACCGTCGGAAGTCTCTGTAATGCTCGGCATTTGGACGCCATGTGACGCGCGCCGAGGGAAAAGGCCCAGTTGTGTCCACAGTGTTCAGCATTTCGTAAATGCAACAGTTGGTGTGGAAATGAATGTCGAAATAAAATAACAAAGGTACTTTGCCACAATGAGTTGCACGTAGTAGTTACAAGAAACGCGACAACAGCAATGCAGTCAATTATTATTCGTGATTCGAAGTGGATTTCGGCCTAATTAATCATCATGATTGATAATCGTGTCATTGGCCAAACATCTTGCCTTTAATAAAGGGTCGAGCGCAATGACCAATGGCAGAGCCATGCCACAGACAATCAATCACATCGAACGATGAATGTCTCAGCTATCTCGGTGTTTCAGGCACATCTATTGCCATCACTAGCCATATGTCCTAATGAAGCACCCAAAGCCTAGAGGCTTCTGCGGCTAAAGACTAAGGTTCTTCTGGGCAAGTTCAATCCAAAAGACCGCAGTCACACCAGTCTTTTGCTTCTCTCTGGTTCCGTCAGCTGTTTGTCTCGTGCTCGAACACAACCGCCTGTTCCGCGTGCGCTTCGTCCACTCTCCACAGAACAGAATTCCTTTCAGCCAACCCGATCGGCGGCACCTTTGACAAACAACACTAATCGCGAGGCGTCTGTGTGCCGACGAGGCGCGACCGCTACCCCTGAGATCAGGCTGTTCGGGAAAAATAGGAGACAAAGCGCCGCTTGGACGTCGGCGGCCGTGGCGGCTCCTGTTCAGAGGCGGCTACGTTCGAGTTTTGCTGGTCAATACGCCCCTGTCTGTGACGACATCAATGGGTGTAGCATTGATGACGAGAGCCCGGCCGCGGTGCCGACGGTACTGTATTATTTCCGGATTAGAGCCTCAGTCGGATATCGGCCCACTGAATTGGCCAGTTTGGGTGAGAGTAATGCGCGAGTGAATGGTGCTCCACCCTCAAAGAGAGTAAGCCAATTTGGGTATCTTTGACAGGTTCCTGTCAAAACGGTCTCATGATAAATTTGATGCATTTTGTTGTAGGTAATTACGGGTAAAATACGCCGGCCAAAATCGAAACCCGCATGTTAAAAACCGATTGACGCTAACGTACACTGTAGTGTCTATGAAGTACAGGAGTCATTTTCTATGTCTATGAAGTACAGGAGTCATTTTCATTGTTAGCTTTGACTGCGTCTACCTTGGTTAGTTGTATTCCAGCGCACCAGTAAACCACAAAAGTTCACGGACCGGGAGCTAGCAGTCTTAGTTCTCCTAAATTCTGGGATGTCCCTAAATATTTTTGACCCCGTCACGCCGAGGATTTGTTTTTATTTGATTGATGGGAGCACAATGAACGGTATCTGCGAGAGCGTGTCGTTAAAACAGGTTTGTTTGATTTAAATTTCTTGTTTGGAGCCATGTCTTCCATAAAAACGGAATGTCACCACGTCTATTGCGCACCACATTTCATTCACTTTGCAGAAGCCATCCTAAACATAGAATGAAAAGACAGCTTACAAGAGCCATTGTGCACAGTATCATAATCCATTGTGTTGACGAGCTTTGTTGTGACTTTATGTCATGTATTAGTAACCTGACCAACATTCAATTGCCATTTCCCTCAAGATGTACTGCCATTTTTGTTTTTCCCATATAAAGAAGTCGATTTATGGGCATTGAATTTTCGGTTGTCGCAAGCAAATGTGTCCGTTATTACCTTTGAGCACGGCATGGTCTTCTATCCATCCTCATAAAGTTTCTACACAAGTTTCTATAAAAGTTTCTAAAAATAAGTTTTCACAAAAAAATGACAAGGTTTTATATTTCTAGCTTACGTGTCCAATTATCTGTATCTACATTCATGTTATTCGTTTCCGCAGCTGATGGCGCCAGTGAGCCCACCTCGGACGGCAACTCGGAGCACAACTCATCAGCAGAGGAGGACTCCCAGCTGCGCCTGCGACTCAAACGCAAACTACAGCGCAACCGCACGTCTTTCACCAATGAACAAATCGAGTCATTAGAAAAGGGTGAGCCTGCTTCTCGTCTCCCGCGCGGGGATTCCGTATCACTTTCATCTTTCTAATTTTCTTTCTATTAAACGGCGTATTTGCCAAGCCTCCCAGATCCCTTCCGGCTGTTCGCCATTGAATTTCAAGCTAAACGTTTCCGCTGAGCTTCAAACGTTTCGATTTCTGTCGGCCAGACAGAAAATGGCGCTGTCTGAGTCGTGTTCCGGATGACTGGAGACCCGTCAGCCGTCTTTGAATAAAACATGCGCCGTTTTTGCTGGGAGCAGACGCTCATTGGTGTGCGGGTGCTGACACAAGCTCCGTGCGCCACAGAGTTCGAACGGACCCACTACCCGGACGTGTTCGCCAGAGAGAGACTGGCCGAGAAGATCGGACTTCCCGAGGCCAGGATACAGGTGAGGTTACAAACAGCGACTGCATTCGTGGAGAGAAGACTCGTCTATTCCATAAATAACCCGGCAGCCCGCATTATGTAGACATGACTCGAAGTAGAATAGCGTCATGTTACATAAGCAAACACCTACGTTTTTGAAAATATTGCAGTTAAATATGTACAGTCTGCCTTAACCCTATTCCTGGCGGGGGGGGGGGGGCTCAGGAGCCCCCCCTGAGGTTTTTGGTTATTTCTCCCAAACGCGTTGAGCTAGGAAGCTCAAATTTTCTGACTTTTCCTAAAAGGCTTCTACGCAACATGTCTGAAAATTTTGAGTTGATCTGACCTCAGGTCAGGTCACCAGAGGCGGTTTGGTGACCCTACCTCAGAAAAGTTTGCAATCACGCCAGAGCTAGAGTTTTTGACCGATCAATTTCTTCTCTTCAGGCTTTAGTTAGGGTACCAGTATGTGCAATTTGTATATCTCGGAATTTTGATATCGGTGACCTAAGGTCAGGTCAGTTTCGCGACCTCCCCATTATAAGTCAATGGGGAAAAATCAACTCCCTGTTTTTACCACTAAAACGGGTCGGAATGGCCCCATATACCATACATGACTTCATATACGATCAACCTTCACTACCTTGAGGTCTGTTTTGCTGTTGGGCAGCTGTGAGGTCATGTGACGTCATCAAAGGTCACCAAAGGTTTTTGGCCAATAACTCCGTACAGGAACAAGATACAGACGCGTGGATGGTCTCATTGTGTTCAGCTCGTCAAGACGCATCGAATGATATACATGATGACCTCGAGGTCACGTGACCTGAGGTCAACCTTTGACCTTGACCTTGCGAGGTCAACATATATATCATTCGATGCGGATTGACGAGAGGATCACGATGATGCCCTTAGTTTGTTCCTATCTTGACTAATTCGAAAGTTATTCGAGAAAAACTATCTCCGTATCTAGCGCCGCCATTTTGACTTTTTCGACCCCTGTGACGTCATCTTTGACCTGACCTGAAAATGACCTTAGTAAAAATTGTAGATCTTGACCGTGCGTATCCGATGCCGTTTACCGTTTGTCGCTATCTTGCTTCGTTCTCGAGATCTCAGGGGGGGGGGGGGCCGAATCGCCCCCCCCCCCCGCCAGTTTCTTGTCCCGGCGGAGTCCGCCAGGAATAGGGTTAAAAGCACCGCGCAAAGTAACGGTGGATCCATCAGGCCTAACCGAGGAAGGACTACTAAAGTTGAGTCACCGAAGCAGTGGACATCCTCGTCCATTTCCCGGGTCGATTGGTTCGGTGACTTTCAAATTATAGCAGGCCCTTCCTCGGTCAGGCTTGATGGATCCACCGTTACTTTGCGCGGTACTTTTAAGACAGACTGTACATTAGTAGCAGTAGATTACAGAAGATTATAGGTAGATTATAATTGAAAATACCATTGAATTTATCAGCAAAAAAAGAGAGAAGAATGTAGCAAAAGAGGAGCCAAAAAACCGCCAGAGTCCACGAAAAGATGAACAAACTATTCGCCATCAAATATTCCCCCATCACTCCCAAAACTCATGCTGCCCGTCATACTGTTTTTTTTTCTGGCCTTCCATCGTACCACGGCAAACAAAGGTCATGCTAATTAACGCCAAACAAAGCGCAACAATGGGCGTCTCAGAAAAGGGGTAGCAATCCGGTTAGGGGCATGTGCGTTTCACGCGCTTTGAACGTGGCGCTATATGGCTCGCGCAGGTGAGGTGTTTGGTTATCAGAGGGGGCTGGAACTGAACACTGTATCCGATATCCATCCATCAGAGGCCGCCCCACAAACGAGATGTGTGGGGATACTGTTTTGTTTTGCGTTGCGGTTTCCAAGCATTGCGGGCTAGTATACAACCGCAGGTAACGGTCGCTCAGTGACTGCGATGCATTTCAATAGACAACACCGCCACGTAATGCGGCGTATGAGGGCGGTGGTTGAACCCTTGCGGGCATGAATTATGAACAATAATTAGCCCGCAGTCGACATTTTCTTTGTCCCTTCGTAACTACCAGACAGGGTGGCAGTTTAATTACATTAATGTTGCGTGCTCCGTTATCACATCGCGTGTCTGTTACACATTTGCAGACTGGCCGAATGGGGTTTTGCGCCCGTTTCGCTGCCTGCCATTGGTCCACACTCGTGCCACGGTGACCCTGATTGGTTGTTTCCAGGTGTGGTTCAGTAACCGGCGGGCCAAGTGGCGACGCGAGGAGAAGCTGCGGAACCAGCGCCGGGGTATCGACTCGGTGGGCGCCATGCCGCACCACGCCTCGCCGGGCGGCCGGCTGCCCTCCCAGCCGGGCTTCAACTCTATGTACCCGTCCATTCCGCAGCCCATCAGCATGGCTGACACGTATAGGTGAGCCGGCCCGCGCGATAAGGTCACCCGACACCGGTCGCCAGACCGGTCCCTTGAATACTCAAAACAGATACCGAATGTCAATCATAATGATGTGCCATGTAGTGCGCATAGTGACGTTTATTGACATATAACTGCAGTTAGGCTGGTAAAAAGTAGATCACCTTTTTTCCTGACGCCACAGCCCACAACGGAGTTCAATACAAATAATGAATAAAAGGATGTTATCTAAGGGGCTTCAATATAGAGACACCCATGGAGCCCAACCTGTCCCTGCGTTACCACAGGCTGTAACAGATGTATGTAGACCTCTTGGATCTGCTCTAGCTCACCGCATAAACATGGCATAACACATTTCCATCTCTTCCCCAGCTCGATGTCCCAGTCGCTGGGCGGCATGAGCTCGGCAGCAGCCGCCGCGGCCGCAGCTGCCGGCGCCGGCTGTCTACAGCAGCGCGAGACGCCCTACCCCTACATGTTCGACCACCTGAGCACGCTGGGTAGCATGTCCTCTGCGGCTGCCGCCGGCTACGGACGCTCCTCCTGCAACATGACCCCGCAGAGCTCCGGACATGTGGGCTACCCCGGCTCGGCGGCAGCGGCGGCGGCAGCAGCAGCGGCAGCGGCCGCCGCACCGGCTTCAAACGCAGCCACAGGTCAGTCAGGGGTCAGGGAATGGGGCAGATGGGTGCTGGATGAGGCGCTTAGGGCTGTGATGACAAATGGCAGTCACTTTGGGCTCATATAGGGTTACAAATATACAAATGTTAGGTATCATAGCACCTGACGATTGGAGTTGGTATTGAACAAACTTGTGTGCCTTTTTTAGTTTGTGTAACTGTCTTCGTAGTATTAGTATGCGGACAGCAGATGGATTTCAAATTATGCGTGCTGCTGAATGCTAATGCTTTGGCTCGAATTGGCTAATGATGTAAGCCCGATGCTTGCATTTCACGATGAAGGGATATTTGAAATAATCCCGTCTGAAAGTCCGGTAATGCCGTTGTAAGGTACACCAGCGCTTAGAACGGTTACCACATGGAGACTCCACCACGAAACCAGTCTTAGCCATGCCCGATCAATGCTCCTACAGCTCGTTAGCACGAAGACAATCCAAAGTTCAAAGAACCGCCCCCGTTTCGTGACTACGGAGCTGTATCCAGGTCGGCGCCATGTCCCAGGCGCACTTATGTTAATAGGTCACGGGAGTCGCCACCGCCGCTGCGGCAGGGACTTAGCTCTCCTCATGTCACCGAGCTGAACATCCGGCTAGACGGGGCTGCCACGCCACCCTCCGACCCGAATCCGCCGGCGGCCGCCACGCCCCTGGACAAAGCTCCAAAGCTGTTTACATGCCAGTCCAAGTGGCGTTCGTGAGACAGGGGGTTGTTAGTGGCCGACTTCAAACCTGGCGTCTTCATCAAAGAGCGCTACGCCGGCGGCCGCCATAGCTGCGGTCACGCGTCCTTTACTAGTTAATGAGGAGCAGCGCGGTGCCGAGTGGGCCGCAGAATCGATTCCCCGGCATCACGGCGCGGTCGGCGGCACCTCCGTCTCGGTCGCGGCGCACGGCCCACCCGGCACACCTCCGCCAGCTCCCAGCGCTGCGACGGAGTAGGGCGCCGCTACTGCGACCAAGCGAGCCAATTATGCGCGAATTCTCACCAGGCCGAGAACTTTGCGCATACAGATTCTAGCCAAAGTTGGGTTGATTATTCACCTTCAGCTGTTGACGCAGCCAACCGATCCGAGAAGAGCGACGAAACTGTTCATCCAAGTTGTATAGTTCATTAGAACAACACTATCTTTTGCAATATGTATTTTGCTAATCTGAATAAAGAGCGCCTTATCTTGTGAGTGCGAAGTTTGAGCCTTCGGCAATATTCACCCTCGATTTCATCTTTTAAAATTGTGATGGAGTTATGAAATGTGAAGTGCTTCTTTTTCGAACAAAGACAAAAACAACCAAGGAAATTATAAAGAAGATAAATCGTGAAAGACCAGTTGAAACCATTCCTTGCGAGCCGGACTTCAAGCATAATTTTGTAGGCTTGAGAACGTCTTTGACGTCAAATGCAGCCCTGTAGCCGCTTTTCCCCGGTCCTGCACATGGGTGGTCCGAGCTGCACCTCCTGATCCGGAGACCGGGCGCCGATGTGGCCCATCACATCCGGCGGGCCACGCCCGGCGCCGGATCGTGCGACAAAAACATCCGTGGCAGCCCCCGCTCGTCATTTGTCATTTACAGTCGCTCGCCCAACAAAGGCACTGCACACAAAATTATGTCGATTCGTTTATGACGCGGGGCGGGGGCGCTGACTGCGGGGAGGGGCGGCTGGAGGGGAGGGGAAGCGATCACTGAAGCGGACATGACCGGCCCTCTCGCGCTGGAGGTATCCGATTATGATGGCATTGTTCGGCGCCGCTCACATCTGCTATCATTGGGGCCATTGTGCGCGACGGGGAGCCGGGCGGCGGGCCGGCCGCGGTGAGCCCGCTACTCTAACGAACCGGGATAGTGATGATACGGGGATGACGCCGCAACATGGCGCCCGGCGGCGACAGACGCTGACAGCAGAAATTGGGTGACGACGGCGTCCGTCTGTGTCAGCAGTTCAGCTGATAAAAACGACACAGACGGAATACATATTTGATTTTACAATGATAAGAGTTAAATGAAACCGAAGCAAGGTGCTCGAACCAGGCGCGGATACAAGGGGGGGGGGGCATGGGGGCCATGGCCCCCCCCCTTGGCCGATTTTTTTCAAAAATAAAATAAAAAGTTAAAAAGTTAAAAAGCTGAAAAGGGGGCCTCCTGAAAATAAAGTGGCCGAAATCCGATGAGTTTTTTTTTTAACCTACCCACTTAGTTATTTCTTAGAAGACTAGCTGAGAAGACTTCTTTGTTAGAAGATTGGTAAAGCTTTTCATAACTTGGAGGTCTCTTATACTCACAGAGATGACCACTTTTACAGGGCCTCCTAACCTGCACAGAGGGCCTCCACGCCTGCACAGATGTTGAGATGTTGCCTGAACAGCTAGATAAGCTCAATAGACGCAGTTTTTTTTTGAGGGGGAAGATGCCAACAAGTGGGAAGATGGGGCCTCCAACAGGTGGGATTATGGGGGGGGCCTCCTGGTTTCTAATGGCCCCTCCCTTGGAGATTTTCTGGATCCGCCCCTGGCTCGAACGATTGTCAGTGCAGCAGCATTGGCGAATCAATTATATCTATCGCTTGCTTGGAAAGATAGCGAAAGTGTAGCTATCAATTTTATTGTTTAGGAGGCGAACTTATAGACCGAGAGCCAAGGAGCACAAGCGCGCTAATAACGATTATGATCGAGCCCCATCCTACCCAAGACCGACCGACTTTAACCTGACCCACGCCAATCCCTCTCTTTCACAGGTGTTCTGTCGGCTGGCCTGTCTGTGCCGCTGCAAATTCACAGCCAGAGCCAGCACGACCTGGCCGCCAACTACTGGTCTCGGCTCCAGTAGCAAGCAGCCGCCGCCGGCCGCTGGTGGTGACACGAGATTGATCCGGCGGTCGGCGGTTTTAGTTGCGCTCCAGCGCAAGCGAGCTAGGAAGTTGTGGATCTAGACACGGGCTCGGCAGCGGAGACGGGTTCGTTTGGGATATTTCTTTAGTCGACGCATCGCTCGGATCGGGCGTATCGCGGCGGAGGATCTTCTCGGATCGGTGAATTTCTGAACCGGGACCGACAGTGACTGGGAATCTCACGGAGTCGAGCGCCGGAGATACGAGTTCGGCTCGGTCACTGGCACTCTGAAACGGAGTTCGGCCCAAACCACGGACACTGGACCAAGTATGGCCATTGGCCTGCACCGGGACTGGATCTCATCCTCGGAAATGAGTTGATCCTTGCTACAAGCCTCAGTGATGCCCGCCCTCAGAACTGGAGCCGAGTGACCCATTGGACCGTCCCGAGTCGCTCAGTCACCTGTCCCGCTGCCGGTCCTTGCGTTTCCCGGTCCACTCGTTCCGTTTCCCAGCCCGCCCGTTTCCCGTTTCCAGGTCCGTCCTGGTCGCCATACTGACGACCTTGTCCAGCGTCACACAATAGTGGGTCGGTGGCCGGCGGGTCGCCCCTCCCCTCCCCAGTTCCCGCTCCGCCCCGCCCCGCAGTCGGCCATGACTGCTGTGCTTCGTCAACCAGAGGGCGGTACCTGAGGGGTCGCCGCACGCGGAGGGGGGGGGGGGGGAGCCTGTTACACAGGTGTGGGGACAGATGCGTACTACAGAGCCGCAGGGGAAGGGGAGGACAGTGGCTCTCCAAAGAAATGATATGCGTTGACGTAGCGTTTTACGGCGCGAAATGTGTGACAAGGTACTGACAGATCATTGTTTACCGGGCTTCTCAAAAAAGTTAGACGATTTTATAACTAACGTATTGAAGGGTGTATCAGTGTAACAAAACATAATTGGGTATCACCTAAAAGCCTCATCAAAGACATTTCGTTTGAGGGGATTTCGATCCTCGGTAGTCGCCTTTCTGAGCCGCGCCGAGGTCATGTTCGAGATGATTTCCTTTTTGCTCGATGCACAGTTTAGCCCGGCGCAGCGCGACCTCTGCTGCAGCACGACCTACGGAAAGCTGCAGACGGCACACCGCTGACTTCACTGCATCCTTATGATCTTCGGAACTTTTTGGGTGGTTTCGGTACACCTGAGACTTGAGGTGGTCCTATAGGAAAAAGTCCGGTGGGGTTACGTTCGGAGAAATCGCCGACCACGGGCGTGTCTCGAACCTCGAGATCACGCGCTACCCGAAGCGCTCCCACAGCCCCTTCCGTTTTTTTTTTTTTTTAAGCGGTATTGGCGTGGCATCGTCTTGCTGGAACCATTGGATCTTAAGCGTTTCCGGATCTCTGCTCATCCTGATATTGCAGAACCTTCCAAAACGTCGCCAGAGCCACCCGATATCGCTGACCAATGACAGTCTGAATAGCGCATCTCTCGCACGAGTGGTGTTCGCCGTGAGCCTTTGATTGGGTTTATGGCCGCCGCTGTGTTCCTTGAATTGCGTGAACCTATTGTTAACACTTCCTCGAGCCAGAAACTTGTCAATAATGTGGAAAATTTTGTTTCAAGTGTTGCTCTCTTTGCCCTAAAGTGTTTGCGGATCTTCCGTGGTGTCGAACCGACCGACTTAGTCTGGGAAAGCATAATTTTACGAGTTTTGCTTTTACTTCCTAAGACCACGGCTTCATTTTTTAAGCTCAAACCATGGTGTCATATAAATCTACGAAAAATTCTCCGTTTTTCCACGTGCATTGATTTTGCCTAAATGTTGTTAGGGGTCCTCTATTCGCAAAAGAAATCCGTCTAACTTTTTTGAGAAGCCCGGTAGCTCGTGTTTAGGTGCTTCGCTTTTGACAATGTGTTTTTAATCGATTGGTTTTATGTGGAATGGTGCGATTTCTTAGCTACGTGACTTGGACAAACACACTTGCTTTGGAAAAGATGATTCATTATCAATCGGTTTATTTTTTATTGAAACAAAGCCGGGGCTGTAGGGATATTCGCCCCACAGTTCTCAGAAGCAAAAATGGACATTGCTGTCGATTTGTTCCACCGACCAGTCAAACTTAGCTGCAAGGCCATTTGGTTGCTGAATAGGTCCATTCTTTATGTTAGGTATTCTCAATTGACGTTTCTTGCACGGCACGTAACATAACACGTGCTTCCCTAGAATAATAACAAAAAGTGCACAAATGAAAGAGGTGCATGCAAAGACAAAGATTCAGGTATCATGCACAAATGAAGATGGCAAATGCATGCATGTGGTGTCAATTTTAATGGTTTCAAACAAGTGAATCATAAAAAATCATTACACAATGGGTCACCGTGATTGAACTAACATTTCTTTTTTCTAAGGCGGGGAGATAACAGGTCAAACACGACATTGCAGCGTACCGTTTGAATCAATAACACATTTGCTTTTAAATACCTATAAGGTAAAATCACCTCAACAAACCAAACCACGATGCATGCCGCTAAACCAGCAGCGAGCTGCCTTTGTAAGCCACCCCGTTAACAAACATGGGGTCATGCTCAGCGCCTGGTCACATTTTGCTAACAAATAGATTGATAGTGAGGAACGGTTCCTAACGGGCCTCCTGTGTGGGTTCAGTCTACCTTTCAGCTAGCGCGTTCTGTCGACGAGCGCTCGATGCCCGTCGGCACGGGGGAGGGAGACGAAAGTGTTGTGTTTGTTGGCGTCCGCCATGTGCGATGTTTGAGCCAGTGTACTTGTGCTTGTGTTTTCTGGCGTACCTATCGATAGTAGGAAGTAGATTTATTGTTGCATGTTACCACTCCGGGCCGCCAGGCGAGCGCGAACTGTTTCATAATATAACTAGGCCTTATCAGAGTGCGCAGCGGAGTACAGCTACGGCGAATCATTGTAGGCAGGCGACACAGAGCTGGAGTAGACTGCCATTCTGTGCTTTTCTCTTGTTGTCATCGTGAAGTGGGGGTAGCGTGAGGGCGCTGGTCGCTGTGAAGAGAAGCAGTGACGATTTGGGGAGACGGACAGCTCGGGAGATAGGCGTGAGAGCCGCACAAAGCGTTCGCCCGCGCCGCTGTCGCGTGTACCATATGTGCTGAGTGGAGTTCGACTATGGTGGTGTGCTGTATAATAGGTCTACATACTGTGTACATACAAACAACGTGTAGGACTATGAAGCGAATGTAATAAACTGGAAATAAGATGTGATGCGTTTCACGTAAGCTGTAGGAGTGTAAGCACATGTTGTAGCACATGTGTAAGCACATTCATAGGGGATGGTAAGCACATGGTGCAACAATCATTTGTCTGCAATGGCATCGTGCGATAGTTTCGATCTAGCTAAACCTGGGTTGCACCAAGCGCAGATCATTCGCTGAGTGGCAGCAATGCACATTGACTTGTGTGCATTGACTTTCACACAGACAATACAGACAATACGTTATACGTCCGTGTATTTGTGCGTACATATACCCGCTCCATTCATCCAGATTATACGCTTCAACTGTTAATGATACGGCAAAACCATAACAGATGTATCACCTTTCAGACAACACCATTACAATGGGCGCTACAATGTAGGGCTACAAATGTGACATTCGGTGCACAGCGCGTAACATGCTGGCGATACGCGATAATGCGATTGGCGATATTGTAAACATACCGTGGCACTAAAACAGCCGGCATTAGCACCTGTCAGATATGGAATCAATTCGTGAAAGACAATCACTCGAGCTCAGACATTAAGGCCAAGTCTTATTCTTACAAAGACTGTTGGTCCCATGCAAGACAGCAAATATGGCACAGTTTCGCGACGGATGGATAATGAACCAATTTGATATTAACTCGCTAAAATGTGTACATAGTTATTAGTCAGAAGTCAGAACCCACCCATAAGCCATCTCAAAGAGCTGGAGTCCGAGAAATAATTATACACCATTGATGATCGGATTAATAAGCTGCAGAGTTCAAGAAACAATTATACACGATTAATGATGGGATTAATAAGCTGCAGTCATGGTGCAAAAGTAAGGTATATCGTAGCCGCACACACACTACACTATATCCTAAACCAGACCATCGCATTATTGTCAGTGTCGTTATCCACACAAGACATTCGCATCACACAATATCACATAGCTTTCCTCGGTACACCAATAGAGCGTAAGCAAAAAATATCTGCATGTGCACTAGTTGCACAAAAAGACGCACTCGCCAACAGAAGAACGACTCAGCACAAATGCACAGCGGCACGTAGAGGACCGCAAGTGGAAATGTCAGCAGCAGATGAACATGTAAGTTCTGCTAGGCACCTTACGCATGTTACTCCCTCGTTCGCATCATTGCAACCACCGATTGCAGATTTGCGACCCGTGAAACCCCATCTGCAAGTATTCCACGCTAGTTGGCTCCCTACACTTCAGGTGCGCAGTGCGGTGCGCGAGAAAGAAACTCAGCAGCGCAAAGCGCATCACAAAAGGCCTCACAGAGTACGGTACGGAGCCCATAGCTGCTTGCAGTTGATACAGCCGTGAGATTAAGGCAATGGCGGATGCAAAATTATTTAACGATAATGTGCGGGAGCAGTTATACAGCATGGTTACAAAAAGAGGTTTGGGACAGTACAAATGTAAAAGAACGATAAACGGATGCAGTTCGAGTATCCGGCAGAGGAGGGTACAGAACGGGTGTACAAAGGGTGCGGGACGGATGTCGGCGGGTGCAGGGCGGACGCGGACAGGGCCGCCAGTGATTCAGGAAGTCAGGCACGCGGCACAGCCCCGCCCAGTAGCATGGTAACTGCTGACACGACACGAGAAGTAGCGTGGCAGCAGCTACCGTGACACCTCATGTTAGAACGGGCAGCCGGCGAAAATGTTCGGTAATAACAGCTAATAGCAATGGGATTCACAGAAATAGGTGGTACGTATTGCAGCCAACCAAACCGCTGCTGCATTGTGTTTTGATTATAGCCAAATACGGCCAATCCCTGCATGGATCAAGGAGCATGCGATGCACGATACAAAAGACAAAACGACAGAAGCCTTCCCTTCTTCCGGACAATACTGCAAATCGGTGCATACCCTGCTGCTGTCTTTGTAGACTCCGCAGTTACAAGCTGCACTTATTTGAGTGAAGAAAACACTAAACCAGTATCCGCATACCAACTACAAGGGAGAGTGACGTCATTACACAAGCCGTTAAGGATAGTAATTCAGAAAAGAAATGCGGCTGGATTTCTTCAATTTTTGACAGCGGCGATGCCGAGGCACAAAGAAAATAGCAAAGCCAAGTTAACGTACAATTACTGGGGTGGGTGGTTTAAGTACACAGGTATAAGGGTATAATAGTATAAAATATGTGTACAAGGGGCTACCAAAACTGATGGCTGAGTGTCATGTAGGACAATGTAACCAAGCCCTGGTGGAAGAGGGCTTGACAAAAAAGCTAGTCATACACCACTGGTGAGAGATTGACTCGCCTCCTGCAAATAACATAACACCTAAAAAGTGCACGCCTAAAAAAGGCTGGCCCAGTCTGGCATCACTTAGGTGGTAGGTATTCTTGAAACGGCAAAATCGAGAACAGCTCGAAGGTCATGCTATCATAGGATGCCCAAATCTCCTTCAACTTCTCCCGATACCATTCAGTTCGAGGCACAATTTTTGTGCTCCAAACCTAACTATTTTAAGAAAAGGGCAAGGAAAAAGGCAAGCAACTAACAAGTACACCAATGATGGTTGGCACACACGTGTCAATGAGATGCTTTGATACGTGTTCTATAATACTTTCACCTGTCATGCGTTGTAGGCTATGAAAAGAAAAGAGAACGTTGCACGGGCCAAGAGAGCAAAGTTCATGAATGACTGAGAATCCTGCAACACTCAAACAGCACCATAAGGAGGGAATAGAAAATCGCAATCATCGCGAGAGAGGACTGAAACAAACATCTGACCCATGTCCGGTGCATCTCAGACGGATACCCACGCGCCTAGCAGACTGAAAATCGACGGGCTGGCCTCCGCCCGCCTCTCAGGCCAACCGATTCCCGCCTGCAAGTCAGACCCAACCCCATACCTCCAGCCGACCCTTTGTTACTTGTCTTTAGCTGACCAATGCAGCCCGTCAGGCTGATCCCTCCCCTCTCCGACTGTCCCAGCCCACCTCTCAGGCCGAGGGCGGCGAATGGGGCGCCGTAGCCCCATACGTCCCACCAAGTAGGTGCTGCCGGTCGTCGGGCAGAAGGCGATGTCGCTCGGCCCAGTGGCGGGCGCGTCGGCCGGGCTGTGCCGGAGGACGGGGGGCGCCGGCCGCTGAGCCGCCCCGGTACAGTGCCACGAGGGACAGAGACAGCGAGACGAGCAGCAGGAGGGTGAATATTGAGACGCAAACGTAGTCTGTGGGCACACAGACGGTGGGGTGTCAGGGTGTAAAGCATGACCGGGCAAACTGAGGCATCGGAAAACGGACATTTTAATTAGGGAGACAATGAGATCAACCACGTGTATCGCAGCTACAGAAAATAAGCACCTCACATCTACATGTATCACGAATAGTTTATGACATCTATCATAGACTGGTAGCAGCATCAACGAAGCAATCGGCGAAACTAAATGAGCAAGCAAGCCAAAGAAGACAATAGTGAGCAAAATACAAATTTTTCATTACGAATGCTAGCAGCGGCTCCTTTCATGAACTTTCAAGCTGCAAACATTGCGTATATAACCTATTCCGTAGTTAACTTTTCAAACACACAACAGAATAACAAACACTACAGCTAGTCGCTTACCCTGGGCGAGAAACCGCATCTGGAGGTTGGCGTATTTGAACTCGGGATAGATGGCTCGTCGGAACAGGTTGGAGAAAATGTAGATGGTGACTGAGCCGGTAAGCATGGCGAGGCTGAGCATAATCCAGGCCGAGCCAAGCATACACCGGGTCACTACGATACACTGAGGGAGAAATGGGACGGTCAGTGTAATTCAGTGCACCATACACTGTGGGAAGAGCGGTATAGGCTCATGATGATCCATTGTTGAGATTTGGGAATGAGCAGCGGATCATCGCGATACAACGAGGGGAGAGGAGACTACACGAACTACCATGATACACTGCGACTAGGAGGAGGAGGCATAACATGAGTTTTTGGAACATGGTCTGGAGTAGTAAATACAAATAGGTAAATAAAGATAAAAATAAGTAAAATTAAAAAAGTAAATAAAAATAGGTTTTAAAGTCCGAAGCCTGAAGTTAATATAAATATTTTTTGCAAGCAGCATTCTCTCGGACTTCAGCCAGTTGCTTTCCACTCAGTCATTGAGAAACTGTGACAAAATTTTCAGCCGGATAGACTTGAGATACAATGCCCAACTGGTCCATGTGCAGCCAAACTATCACATTATCGACTGGGCATATCGTAATTCAAAGATGAGCCGGAGCGATGCCTTTGATTGTTCCTATACTGTGGACAGTGGAACTATATATGATATAACTGTAGCAGTCAGCAGACTTGTCTAACCCACCGACTCTCCCCTTGTCTCAGCGGTCAGGCTAGAGTCAAACTCACCAGCTCCAGTCCCGGGATCAGTACGATGAGCGTGAATGCTAGCGTAAACAGCACAAACGCGGGCCAGAACACGGCGTCAGCAGAGAGCTCCATCAGCTGCACTGGAATGAGATACGACCAAGGTCAGGCATAGTGCGAGGCTTGGTTACGACTCCCGACCCACACCCGCACACAACACAGATAGGTGCAGGTTCTGGAGCACTTCAGATAAGATCAGGTATTGGCAGTAGATGTGCTGGTAGAAAATCGTCTTTTGATGTGGGATAGATGTCAGGAAGGTCAAGTAGAAGTTACAAGAACTACCACATACGCTATCGAGTTCCAAGCTCACATTCAAACTGGGATATTTATTTTTCGCAAGCCTAACACCTGCGAGCCCTAGTCACAGCGGTACTTCGAAGAACTCTAGCTTCTCAAGACGCCGCTAGATGGCCAAAGGCCTCCACGCCGAGGCCCTCCAAGGCTTTATGTTTCTCGTAGGTCTCCCTTACGGTCGACAATCTAGCTTATAAATCTCCCGCTAGATGGCTGAGACCCACCGTCCCTAGCCCTTACACAGCGTGCCCTGGCTAACATCATCCTTACGATCTGGTACGAAGAGTATCACGGCTCCGAGGGTGGCCCCGAACAGCAGAGCAGTACCGAGGGTCATACGGCCGCGGCTCCATCCGCCGACCGTGTGCTGTCGGGCGTACACGAGACCGGCCAGCAGGCCCACGACGAACCCGATGGCCAGCGTCACTGAGGGGGACAACGGACAGGGGGTTAGTACACGAGACCGGCGAGAAGACCCACGACGAACCCGATGGCCAGCGTCACTGAAGGGGTAACAGGATAGAGAGTCAGTGCAACAGCTGGCCTGGCCAACGACGACTGACCCATGGTCAAGGTCCGAGCGTCACTGCAGGACACACGGTGTTACTGCAGGGTTAGTGCACCACACAACGGATACAGGACGGGACAGCGGGGCCGGTACAAAATCCCGGTCAGAACATCGATAATGAGCTCCGTCACCAGCGTCACTGCCGGAATCAAAACAGGCGGTCTGTCGAGAAAGGTCAGTCACTTTGAAAATAGCTCAATACACTTGATAAAAGAAGAGTTCATTCGATAAATCACTATCAGCACTTGAAACACCTGGCCAACTTCAGAACAAAATTCTCTCGGGTACAACGTAACATCGGTAAAATATCCTCATATTCACTCGAACATCCCCTGGCGGCCTAACCTTCTCACGGCCCCAGTCTCTCACCATTCGGCTCATCCCAGGTGAGCAGCCTGAACACCAGCACGGCGAGAGCCGCCACCGGCAAGGCCGTGGTGAGCACCACGTGCAGACTCAGCTCACGAGCGGCCACCGTGAGCAGCAGTGCACCGCTCACGAACAGCAGGGCGGCCGTCAGGTAGAAATAAAGCGCAACTGGTAACAGAGACGGAAAGAGTCACTGGGAGGCCGTCTAGCAGAGCGTCACTGAAACGGTCATGAGAAGAGACCAAAAGGTAGCAACTACCAAACCAATACAACTGCCCCGCTGATGACGGAAGTGTCAAGGGACAGCTGTTAGAGATAGAGCAGCAATTTATCAGCTAACTGTGCAAGTTTCCGTCTAAAAATAGCCAAAAATGATACCCAAAGCAGCAGTTTACAACGCAAAGCAACAATACCGTATGTGACTTTACAACAGTTCAAGAGACTTCACTCTCCTCTTTCCCCCTCAGCAGGCACTCACTCTCTGGCGGACACTCGGGGTCGTCCCCGCCGAACACGGGGCAGCCGTGCAGCACGGCCGGGACGTAGGCGGCCGTGGCGGGAGCACGGCCCGGCGGTACGCCCGTCACCGCGGCGCCGTACACCACCGAGTACCCGCGGTACAGGGCGAACGTGTACCGCAGTGGGTACAGCGGGTCCCGACTGTCCACCTGACCGACGGAGAACGGACCGGTAAATTAGGAGAGAGGCTGGAGACGAGAGGTCGGGGAGAAAATCACTCGGAGTACTGCACCAAAAATAGAAACATTCGCGCCGACACCGTACTGATGTTCAACATACCGCTTTCAAATAAATAATGCCGCAGTCACAACTCACACAAGGATTAAAGGGACCCTCCCACCTTCAAAAAAGTTAATGAATTGGCACGAAAGTGATGTCGCTCGGTTCAGAAAGAGCGAAAACGAATATCTACCAAATTTCATCGAAAAATATTCACCGGTTTTCAAGATATTAGACTTTTACTTTTGTTTACTTTTTTAGGATCTCCGCTGTTCCTAGCGACTTTATTTGAAAGTGCGGCATTTGTTGCGCGCAAAGCAGCATATACCACCGCGTGCTACCAAACGTTTTAGTAAAAGATTTAAAAATCGTTAGATCTCCGCTGACGTCACAAATTCTAAGGGGGCATACCAATGCACTAGCCCCTTAGAATCCGAAAACTGCAAGTTTGAAATTCCATATCTCCGAATTAAAGCATTTGTCGATGTTGTGAGTGCCCAAACCGGTATTTGCAGGCCATGGCCACCAATTTGGCTATCTCAACTCAAAACTAATGTTAAGGTGGGAGTGTCCCTTTAAGTGACATTTTAAAAATTGCGTACTTCTTTTACACGTAAAGGAAAGCACCAAATTATGCACAAGTTATATAATCATGCCTGCCACTGACCATGTAACCATTGTCCTCCATGTCATCCGGCTGCAGCATGCTGGCGATAGCGTCCTTGAACGTGTCGTAGTCATCTCGCAGGCTGTATGAGGGGTACATGACGTACGCATAGTACTCCATCGATCCGCGCGCCGAGTCACACGTAAAACCCATACCCCTGTGAATATATGGACGGTGATAAAACGACTATCGATAAACAACGAGTCAACGACCCATGTGGACCGAGCGGGAAACGAGAGACTCGTCGGCATATGGGTAACGTAATGATTACATAACCGCACAGCTTACGGTGCATTACATACATAGAATACATCTGGTTGTAGATAAGAACATACATCTGGTTTTATTCTAACTCGTCGTTTAATTAACTCTTGAGCTTTGTAGCGCAGATATTTTATATAATATCATTAAGAGAAGTTGAGCAAAAACACCTATCCCAGGATTTCCGTACGTTACATAACCGACCTGTCAACGCCAAGTTGCGCTCTGGGTACGTTGAAGAGGCTGTACGCGTCGTGTACGGTCTGCACACGGAAGAAGGGCGCGTCGGGGACGTCCTCTACCTGGCTGCAGCCGCCAGGTATAGGGGCTGTGGGCAGAAAGCAGAAGAAATAACACATCAGTGATGCCCACAAGGAAACAATGGCCTACGAAAACGGCGTTATTCGAACAGCGCTCGTCCAAAAATCCAGCATTTCCTGGATTCGATGGTCCATAGTTTGGCCGGAATTACTAGGCGTGAAATTGATTAGGCGACAGTGAAGGCTTCGCCTTTGCTATAATGCTCTACATTTCAAATAACAATCAGCAAACCAACAAGCAATCAACCGGCCAAGAGTAAATTGTTTCCCTAAAACCCTCTTTGTCATCCTTATTCCAATCCTTTCTGTCCTCATCACACTCACTGTAGTTGGGCAGAAGTGTGACGACCACCAGCACGGTGCCCCTGTCGAGGCCCTCGTTGGTGACCGTCACCGTGGCTGTCGAGCTGCCGCCGGTCAGCCGGTTCACCAGGCCTACATGTGGACCGGTCACAGACTCTGGGCCGCTGCCGTCGGCGGCCGCCTGCTCGAGGCTGACGGTGCCACGCTGCACGTGCGCCTGCACGAGCACCAGCTGAGCAGTGGCTGGGATACCAGCTATATGCAGTTGCTGACTGGCGCCGGCGGCCAGGGGTAGGTCCAGTAGTATTGGCGACCATGGGTCTGTTGTGTTCTGGGGCACATCATCTGTGTAGGGAGGCAGAGAGAAGTAGAAGGGGGCTGTAGTGATTATGACAATATGTAAATATGTGAAATATGTAGTGATTAAATGTTAAAAAAAAAACACTAGTGCCTAACACACACAGATATGAAGTGTGATTTACTTTGTCAATTGATACAAAAGAAACTATAACCCCTTATGAAAACTTCTATCAATAACATGCCATTGTAGAAAACTTGAAATTGAGAAATGCATAAAAAATCAGGTAGGTTTAATGTGATTAAAATGTAATCAAGCATATGCTAATAAACTATACACTTTCAGCCAGTGACCAAAAATGCCTTACAATAGGTTAAAATCAGTAAATTATGCAAGCTTGAGTCAAATCTAGAGACACATAATTGACTGGAAAGGAAAAAAAGCTTACCTATAGAGAGCCCAACCACACTTGCATAGAGAGCTAAATGTAAAAGAAGTGCAAAATTAAATATCTTCATAATTATCCAATTGCACCTGAAATCATCTTCAGTTAAACATCACAAAATATGTGCAAAAATATTTCAATTGATTCATCAATGATTTAAAAGTTTTCCTAGGAACTCTACCAATAAGTAACTCAATGCTCACAAGCATAATGGTCTCCAACTCACATACATATAAGGCATTGTAACTGCCTTGTTTTCTTTGTCTAGCCTTTAACTTGTCTCATAGTAGTCCTGTGATTTTTTACTTGTTTTACAACTAGCATTCTTTGACTAAGGTACCCTGTTGCAAATAAGCAGAATAGATCTCAAATACAATCCAAGTCCATCCTGTAGCTCAGTTGGCAAAACACCAAACTTCCAGGGGCGGAACTTTGTGTTTACACTGCTCTGGCAACATGTAACTGTTCCAGCAATCAATAGATACCTGACTGTTGAACCACTGTTAATGAGAGTGGGCAGGCTTCTGAACGTGACTGGAATACCCGACTGGAAAAAATGCACGCTTTCGTCGAGAACTCGAGCGTAGTTGGGCGTTTGCGCCGAAAATTTTCGGCGTACTTCGGCGTAAATCGACGGCTTGCGCCGAAATTTTCGGCGTACTTCGGCGTAAATCGCGAAAAAAACCGTCAGGGGGGTGGCACCAACCCCCCCTCGGCCGGCGAGGATTAAATGTCTTCGGGAGTTAAACATCTTAAATATCACTTATCTTGTCTCGTGTTCGTCTCAGGGTATTTAAGTCATGTTCAGTGAACCTGATTGTGACTCTCCCACGGCGGGAACAGTTCACCGGTCGAGAGTGAGGTTATGGATTGTCGGATTCCCTAGTTCAGATAACCTATGCTATCGTGTGCGTATTGACCGTTGTGATTCCTGTATTTCCGGCGTGTGGTTTGCGAGCGGACGCTGGCAATCGGTCCCGCGTGGCCTGGTATCTGCCCGATCCCATCGGCCGTGCTTGCACCACGCCTGTTGAAGGCCCCGTCAGGCGTCAGTCACCGGTTGGGCACTACTGCTGATCAGAGCCGGGCAACAAAATAAAGGTTACATTATGGAACATGCCAGCGAGTTTGTGAGTCAGGAGATTTTGTGATAGCGAACGCTGGTGCTCGGTCCCGCATGGCCTGCTGATGTCTATTGTCTGCCCGATCCCGTCGACCGTGCCAACAACCGTCTGTACAGTAGTCACTGGAAGACAGCCACACACACATGCCAGCCCCCCCCCCTCGACGAAAAGTGCGTGGCTACAGCCTGCAGCCATCAGTAAGCCTTGAAAATTTTCGGCGCATGAAGCATGGCTTGGTAAAATAATTTCGGCGCATAAACCCTTGCGCCGAAATTTCGGCGCATCACCTCCGTCGAGAACTTCAGGGTAGTGGAGGCATTTTTTCCAGTCGGGCTGGAATAGACGGAACCAGCATAAACTCATCTATAACTTGGAATCGCTCGGGCAAGCACATTGTAGAGACCGAGAGCCAGTATTGGTATGGAAGTGGAACAGTCATTTGTTCATCATTTTGCAATCCAATTCTGCCCGTTAGAAATCAGAGTTAATTATATAAAACCCAGTAAGCCAGGGATTACTTTGATAATAATAATGTGAGGCTATTATGCAACAGAACCATCAATTCTACAATCATGGCGCACTACGACATAAAGCCAGTCATCAAAAAGCACTTTTATAGCGTAAGCAAGAGAAAATGCATACGTTACCAGGAAACACGTGCAAATAATAAAACTTAAACCAACAATTGAAGCACTGAAAACACCACGACAGCCAAATTTCAATGGCAAACCAACTAAATGAATACTTTGTAAAACGTAAACAAACTTAAATAAGCCCGCAGGGCAAATGGTACCTGCGAAACCAAGAATACTCCTGCTGAAGCTGAGATCAAAGGAGCACGTGGAGCTTCTGTACAAAAGGAGGTTTGATCTCTAGCGTCGTATTCGTATTCGTTTTCAGCGTCGAGTTCAAAACATCGCCAAACTATGCCAACCGATAGATCTTGACACGCTGATTCCAAAAATATCACTCATTTTTTCCTAGGTCAAATATTTTGACCTCTAGGGGCAAAAAACCACTCTGGCTATAAACAACAATAAGGTACTTCTTTATTTACCGTCCGATCGGGCTGAAACTTACACAAAACATGTGCCGCCACACAAGGATGCGTCACAATCAACAAAATCGCCGATCGAGGTCAAAGGTCAAGGTCATATTTGCGAAAAACCGTTATTTTTCGACGGGGTACCAAATAAAAACTTTATTTACCGTCCGATCGGGCTGAAACTTACACAAAACATGTGCCGCCACACAAGGATGCGTCACAATCAACAAAATCGCCGATCGAGGTCAAAGGTCAAGGTCATATTTGCGAAAAACCGTTATTTTTCGACGGGGTACCAAATAAAAACTTTATTTACCGTCCGATCGGGCTGAAACTTACACAAAACATGTGCCGCCACACAAGAATGCGTCACAATCAACAAAATCGCCGATCGAGGTCAAAGGTCAGGGTCATATTTGCGAAAAACCGTTATTTTTCGACGGGGTACCAAATAAAAACTTTATCTACCGTCCGATCGGGCTGAAACTTACACAAAACATGTGCCGCCACACAAGGATGCGTCACAAGCAACAAAATCGCCGATCGAGGTCAAAGGTCAAGGTCATATTTGCGAAAAACCGTTATTTTTCGACGGGGTACCAAATAAAAACTTTATTTACCGTCCGATCGGGCTGAAACTTACACAAAACATGTGCCGCCATACAAGGATGCGTCACAATTAACAAAATCGCCGATCGAGGTCAAAGGTCAAGGTCATATTTGCGAAAAACCGTTATTTTTCGACGGGGTACCAAATAAAAACTTTATTTACCGTCCGATCGGGCTGAAACTTACACAAAACATGTGCCGCCACACAAGGATGCGTCACAATCAATAAAATCGCCGATCGAGGTCAAAGGTCAAGGTCATATTTGCGAAAAACCGTTATTTTTCGACGGGGTACCAAATAAAAACTTTATTTACCGTCCGATCGGGCTGAAACTTACACAAAACATGTGTCGCCATACAAGGATGCGTCACAATCAACAAAATCGCCGATCGAGGTCAAAGGTCAAGGTCATATTTGCGAAAAACCGTTATTTTTCGACGGGGTACCAAATAAAAACTTTATTTACCGTCCGATCGGGCTGAAACTTACACAAAACATGTGCCGCCACACAAGGATGCGTCACAATCAACAAAATCGCCGATCGAGGTCAAAGGTCAAGGTCATATTTGCGAAAAACCGTTATTTTTCGACGGGGTACCAAATAAAAACTTTATTTACCGTCCGATCGGGCTGAAACTTACACAAAACATGTGCCGCCACACAACGATGCGTCACAATCGACAAAATCGCCGATCGAGGTCAAGTGTCAAGGTCATATTTGCGAAAAACCGTTATTTTTCGACGGGGTACCTAATAAAAACTTTATTTACCGTCCGATCGGGCTGAAACTTACACAAAACATGTGCCGCCACACAAGGATGCGTCACAATCAACAAAATCGCCGATCGAGGTCAAAGGTCAAGGTCATATTTGCGAAAAAACCGTTATTTTTCGACGGGGGTACCAAATAAAAACTTTATTTACCGTCCGATCGGGCTGAAACTTACACAAAACATGTGCCGCCACACAAGGATGCGTCACAACCAACAAAATCGCCGATCGAGGTCAAAGGTCAAGGTCATATTTGCGAAAAACCGTTATTTTTCGACGGGGTACCAAATAAAAACTTTATTTACCGTCCGATCGGGCTGAAACTTACACAAAACATGTGCCGCCACACAAGGATGCGTCACAATCAACAAAATCGCCGATCGAGGTCAAAGGTCAAGGTCATATTTGCGAAAAACCGTTATTTTTCGACGGGGTACCAAATAAAAACTTTATTTACCGTCCGATCGGGCTGAAACTTACACAAAACATGTGCCGCCACACAACGATGCGTCACAATCGACAAAATCGCCGATCGAGGTCAAGGGTCAAGGTCATATTTGCGAAAAACCGTTATTTTTCGACGGGGTACCTAATAAAAACTTTATTTACCGTCCGATCGGGCTGAAACTTACACAAAACATGTGCCGCCACACAAGGATGCGTCACAATCAACAAAATCGCCGATCGAGGTCAAAGGTCAAGGTCATATTTGCGAAAAACCGTTATTTTTCGACGGGGTACCAAATAAAAACTTTATTTACCGTCCGATCGGGCTGAAACTTACACAAAACATGTGCCGCCACACAAGGATGCGTCACAATCAACAAAATCGCCGATCGAGGTCAAAGGTCAAGGTCATATTTGTGAAAAACCGTTATTTTTCGACGGGGTACCAAATAAAAACTTTATTTACCGTCCGATCGGGCTGAAACTTACACAAAACATGTGCCGCCACACAAGGATGCGTCACAATCAACAAAATCGCCGATCGAGGTCAAAGGTCAAGGTCATATTTGCGAAAAACCGTTATTTTTCGACGGGGTACCTAATAAAAACTTTATTTACCGTCCGATCGGGCTGAAACTTACACAAAACATGTGCCGCCACACAAGGATGCGTCACAATCAACAAAATCGCCGATCGAGGTCAAAGGTCAAGGTCATATTTGCGAAAAACCGTTATTTTTCGACGGGGTACCAAATAAAAACTTTATCTACCGTCCGATCGGGCTGAAACTTACACAAAACATGTGCCGCCACACAAGGATGCGTTACAATCAACAAAATCGCCGATCGAGGTCAAAGGTCAAGGTCATATTTGCGAAAAACCGTTATTTTTCGACGGGGTACCAAATAAAAACTTTATTTACCGTCCGATCGGGCTGAAACTTACACAAAACATGTGCCGCCACACAAGGATGCGTCACAATCAATAAAATCGCCGATCGAGGTCAAAGGTCAAGGTCATATTTGCGAAAAACCGTTAATTTTCGACGGGGTACCAAATAAAAACTTTATTTACCGTCCGATCGGGCTGAAACTTACACAAAACATGCGCCGCCATACAAGGATGCGTCACAATCAACAAAATCGCCGATCGAGGTCAAAGGTCAAGGTCATATTTGCGAAAAACCGTTATTTTTCGACGGGGTACCAAATAAAAACTTTATTTACCGTCAGATCGGGCTGAAACTTACACAAAACATGTGCCGCCACACAAAGATGCGTCACAATCAACAAAATTGCCGATCGAGGTCAAAGGTCAAGGTCATATTTGCGAAAAAACCGTTATTTTTCGACGGGGTACCAAATAAAAACTTTATTTACCGTCCGATCGGGCTGAAACTTACACAAAACATGTGCCTACACACAAGGATGCGTCACAATCAACAAAATCGCCGATCGAGGTCAAAGGTCAAGGTCATATTTGCGAAAAACCGTTATTTTTCGACGGGGTACCAAATAAAACTTTATTTACCGTCCGATCGGGCTGAAACTTACACAAAACATGTGCCGCCACACAAGGATGCGTCACAACCAACAAAATCGCCGATCGAGGTCAAAGGTCAAGGTCATATTTGCGAAAAACCGTTATTTTTCGACGGGGTACCAAATAAAAACTTTATTTACCGTCCGATCGGGCTGAAACTTACACAAAACATGTGCCGCCACACTAGAATGCGTCACAATCAACAAAATCGCCGATCGAGGTCAAAGGTCAAGGTCATATTTGCGAAAAACCGTTATTTTTCGACGGGGGTACCAAATAAAAACTTTATTTACCGTCCGATCGGGCTGAAACTTACACAAAACATGTGCCGCCACACAAGGATGCGTCACAATCAACAAAATCGCCGATCGAGGTCAAAGGTCAAGGTCATATTTGCGAAAAACCGTTATTTTTCGACGGGGTACCAAATAAAAACTTTATTTACCGTCCGATCGGGCTGAAACTTACACAAAACATGTGCCGCCACACAAGGATGCGTCACAATCAACAAAATCGCCGATCGAGGTCAAAGGTCAAGGTCATATTTGCGAAAAACCGTTATTTTTCGACGGGGTACCAAATAAAAACTTTATTTACCGTCCGATCGGGCTGAAACTTACACAAAACATGTGCAGCCACACAAGGATGCGTCACAATCAATAAAATCGCCGATCGAGGTCAAAGGTCAAGGTCATATTTGCGAAAAACCGTTAATTTTCGACGGGGTACCAAATAAAAACTTTATTTACCGTCCGATCGGGCTGAAACTTACACAAAACATGCGCCGCCATACAAGGATGCGTCACAATCAACAAAATCGCCGATCGAGGTCAAAGGTCAAGGTCATATTTGCGAAAAACCGTTATTTTTCGACGGGGTACCAAATAAAAACTTTATTTACCGTCAGATCGGGCTGAAACTTACACAAAACATGTGCCGCCACACAAGGATGCGTCACAATCAACAAAATCGCCGATCGAGGTCAAAGGTCAAGGTCATATTTGCGAAAAACCGTTATTTTTCGACGGGGTACCAAATAAAAACTTTATTTACCGTCCGATCGGGCTGAAACTTACACAAAACATGTGCCGCCACACAAGGATGCGTCACAATCAACAAAATCGCCGATCGAGGTCAAAGGTCAAGGTCATATTTGCGAAAAACCGTTATTTTTCGACGGGGTACCAAATAAAAACTTTATTTACCGTCCGATCGGGCTGAAACTTACACAAAACATGTGCCGCCATACAAGGATGCGTCACAATTAACAAAATCACCGATCGAGGTCAAAGGTCAAGGTCATATTTGCGAAAAACCGTTATTTTTCGACGGGGTACCAAATAAAACTTTATTTACCGTCCGATCGGGCTGAAACTTACACAAAACATGTG